CAAATCCATAGTTAATGAAGATGCATGATATACAGTGGAGGAGATAAGTGATATATCGGGTCTTCGTGCATCATATGTGTTTTTCACTTTGAAAGAAAGTTAAAGTTAAGGAAAGTGTGCGCCTATTGGATCCCGCATTTGTAACTACTGATTATAAAAAGGAACTGGTGGAAAAATTATCGGCCTTATTGACTAGGTTCATAGATCGAGACCCTAGACGCCCATGAAACGTGGCTTTATATTTTAAGCCCGACAATAAACTCAGTAATATACTCTAGGTAACAAAATGTGGGTAGGTGAAAACAGCAACCGCCCAGATGTTGCAGGAGCGTTAAAAGAGTTATGTAGGCTCTCTTTTGACAGTTATGGTGTAGTGACCCGTGTCGCTGAGTCTGAGAGGTGTAGTGTCACTTGAACATTTTACCGTGACATGTACTCAATAGTTGTAGTTAATCCGATTACAATTAACCTAAGGTCTTGGGTGCGCAAGGTCAAATTACTCCATGGTAATGTACATGCGCACCGGTCAGCCTTGGTTCAAGCCTATTTAGGGAAGCTGAGAAATGAGGTTTTGCTACATCCCACTAGCAGTCTTGACCCTTTTCCTTGTGACTTTTTATTAAATCCATACATCAAATCTTGCCTTCACGATCACCGGTTTGAGACCTGTTATGCCAGCAGGAGTGTATTTATAGTTTACTCAAAGAACTATTAAAAATGCTTTTTCAGATTGAATTCTTAGGTTGGAAAAGTATGTATATGCCCATGGTGAATACATTGAAGGACTCTATTAATTATTTTTCACAGGTATGACTTATTCATAAAAACGCGCTGTCGTTGCAACTAATTAAAAAAATGCCCCTCGTATAACAATTCGTTTAAAACAAATAGAGAGAATGAAAACTGTATAATGGAATTTAAGTAAACATTTTCATGCTTGGATAAAAATGAATAAACGAAAATTATTGGAGGGAATACCCAAGCTAATTTTCGAATTATCTGCCCTTAAATTTTGATTATTTTAAGTTACTATAATGGCAATTAATGTTTAAATTTTCATTTTATCTTGGTAACGATACAACATTGCATGGAAGTCATTTTAACATGACTGTTCCCTTTTTTCAGTAAGTGATGAGACTGAAAATTCTTCATATATGTGTCATTGTTATGCAAAACATTGTGCATTTGAAAGGAAGCTGGCTACATCCAAAGCAGAAAGAAACAAAATGCATTTGATAAAAATGCTATGCCACCTCATTAATATAACACAAGGAGATTTTTTCTTGTACTTTTACAATTGAACATTGACATAATGCAGTAGTGTCTAGTGAATTTAGGGGTCAAGGCCACATTTCAGCATGTCAAATCATTAGACACATGTGCAGATGTGTCTAATGTTAAGATATAAAGTCCAAAGTGCAATTATTGATTCAAAAATAAAAGATTTTTTGTTGAACAAAAATAGGTATTAACTGTATAACACAGCTCTATTATACTTTTAAATGCAGGTACAATAACTTTTTTTAAATACCATCTTTTCAATAAAGCATTACCAATTTCTTAAAACATAATCATTATTATAAACATGATGTAAATCATAATGTCCTTATAATGTGCCCAAATTGTTTCATTTAATATATCTCTACAAAGCTCACAACTATCTTGCTAGAGTTCATGACCTGAATCATTAATAAATATCTCTGAAAATCATGACATTTAGACCTAATCCCAGCTATTGAATATTTTACATAAAAATTGCATAACATGTATTACACATTCCCCTGTGCCTTTTGACTTTATGGGCCTAATTTTCAATTATTTATTTGTTTTCGTTTAGTTCCTTATCAGTTTCTAATTATTTATTCTTAGGTAGTGGTTTGCCTGTCCGTACTCTGCCTTATGCCCTTTCCTGTTTTTGTTTGGGGTCCTTCTGGGCTCCTTGCCACTGGCTCTTGTTACTGGGTCGGGTGGGGGCTGCGTTCATTGAACGCCGCCTTTCCTTGATGATCTTGTTTATCATATTTTATTATATACACATATGGAAAACCTATGACCCCCGGGGCCGGGTCAATTTTCACACTAGGGGCAGAATTTGAACATTTTTGGTATGGGACCTATAGATGATTTCATATATCAAAGCTCCAAGCCTTGTACCTTCAGACAAGAAGATTTTCAAGTTTTTACTATATTACTACAAGTACATAACGGGTCTTTACAAGAAGATGTTTTAAATTTATTCTTATCATTCCTTTGGTTTCCATGGCAACCAGATTTCTTCATGGAATCAAATTCTTTGAACGAGTTTGGAAGCCCTTCACCAAAGGAACAATCCTACCAAGTTTGGTTGAAATTGGACTAGTGGTTTTTCACAGGAAGATTTTGTAAGTTCACTATATAATCTATAATACACACACACACACACACACACACACACACACACACACGCACACACACACACACGCACACACATGTGAATCGCTCTATGCCGTCGCAGATACTGAGGTGGCATAAAAACGTTTTGAATTGCATTTATATTTATAAAGATTTTACCAAATTTAACATTTCATGTAAATAAAGGGAGGTAATAAAAAAATTATTTTCTATAAAGTCTAAGTCAAATTATTCAATAAAAATCGAATGCATATATCTTAATGATTACATATAATATGTACAATATTTTGCAGGAGATGTTTTACATATTCTTCAATGTTTGAAAATTGTTTTATGATACCTGGCCACCAACTCAATAAAGATAGTCATATGAGCCAACTTCATATTGTCTGCGAAGAATGATATAGAATGGAGTCAAGACCCTTTTTGAATAAAGCTTCCCTCAATAAAGGCAAGCAAGTATAGAAATGATCTGTCCTATATCATTTGATGAATCTTACTATGTGTTTATATGTATTTAATATTTCACCAGTTTTTGGATATTCTCATTATTATTATTATTATACAAAAATGGCAAGAAACCAATGTTTGGCTAAAATGTCATTCCAAATTCGCCAGTAAAAACCTAGAAAGAATCCTCGTGCATGTTAGTGATGCATACATACGGAAAGTATGTGTCAGGTTTCAGTCCGAGTTGCATAATCTTATTGGTCAGTCAAGCTCATCATTTGTTTTTCTCCATGATGCATATAATGGTCTCATATCAAAATTGTATCTTCACAAAAATCGACTTGCATACATATTTAGTATCATTCATTGAACTACTGAATTCAAAATTTATAGGTCACCTTTTGGTTGATAGTAACATTAAAGGACATGAATAGTGACATGTCCGCGGTCCGTACTTTCAGTGCCTGAAAGGGCGAATGGACCCTCATTAAGCCTAGAATACATACATACATACATGCGTGCGTGCGTGCGTGCGTGCGTGTGTACGTACGTACGTACGTACGTACATACATACATACAAATTGTTTTATAAGCATATTTATATAGAGGATATTTGTTTGTTTGTGTGTAAGATGAAATTTTATTTCATCGAATGGGCTTTAAAGACAGTATTCTCACGAGTGAGAATACTGTTTTTAAAGTTCACGAGATGAAATAAAATTACATCTTACACAACAAACAAACAAATTTTCTTTTTATTTTATGCTTAAAAGCAAGTTAAAACGAAATTTCCTTAATATAAGCGTTAATATTAAAATCTGTTTTCCCCATTGAGAGCCTCAAAAAAGTCGAATTTCTCATTAAATACAAGAAGTCTTGGACTGAAAAATAAGTTTGACAATCAACGTTAAATTGCGGTGATATTATTCATTTTATTACAAAAATATGAATGATCGCTTGTTTTAATAATAAAAACAAACAATTCTAGTAGGAGAAAAATTCCAACCATTCATACATATTTCTGTTACTTACTGCAAATTTATATTAGACTTGGCTCTGTTAATTGTAAAAGGCCGCCATTTTTTGTTGTGTATTTCAAGGGAGGAAAATAATTGTGTTTGATTCAGAGGGATATCATTTGGATTTGTTGGTTATACACCATTTTAAAAGAAAGAAAACTTATTTGAGGATTTATACAGACAATAAATAAGTGTTGACATTCAAAAAAGGGGCTAGGATAAGGAAATTGGAAAAATTGGAAGCCTTGCGAACGCTGGGTTATTTACTTATTCTTCGGGCTGATGGCTGTCATTGCTTTTCAAGTTTTAATAAAGCATACAGCAGTTATTGCTCGTAAGATACTTAAACATGCCCAAATGTCATCAAGAGCAGTTTGCATGTGGAAGGAATGTAGTTTTCAGACTGTAAAAATGAAACAAAAAGATTATAAATAGACGATATTTGGTGACTGGTAATTTTTGAATGAATAGAAGGAAGTTTTCTTCTTTTTATTACTTTTGACATTTAAGTTATTTATCAATTTCAGCTTTGCTTTTCTTAAAACAGCCTGACATTGTCAGAATTGTCAGCAAAAATATCATTGAGGTAACACATGGGGAAAATCGTAAACAAGTAGTTTCGTCATTGAAAAAGGGGAATTATATTTTGATAAGTTTAACTGTGAAATTATCAAATATAATTTTTACGGATAAATTAGTAATCCACTGAAAAGCATAAAATAAATATATATAATTATATAGATTATATTATGCTTATAAAATATCCATTTTTATTATTGATCATATAAAAAATTCAAATGGTTGATAACTTAATTTTGAATAAACAAACCTGTTTTTCTATTTTTACAAGTGCTGCTTCAAAATGGGTGTTTCCTCTCGCTTATCATTACCATTAGAATAATGTGTCAAAAACGTAGAAAAACTAAAATCATTATCTTGGTCGTTTGAAAATTACTATCAACTTTCGGTTTCAGTTATGATATGGTATTACTTCCTCGTTTAATAATTCCACGAATTTCTTTAGTTTGAAATCTTCATTGTCCTCATAAACTTAAAAAGTTATTTTGTCACCAAAATATAAGTTCACTTAAATTTCTAAATATTATCAAATCGTAAATTGAACACAAACTGTTGACGTACCCGTGTCTATAATATGTACCAAATCACCGTCTTCTGGGTATTCAAAATGATTTGATCAATCTTTTGCCTTTCCTGTCACGCTTAGGTGAAGAATTTCAGTAATCATCGAGGGGAACCGGAACTAATAAATACCGATGTGAATAAATGGTGGTTTTTGATTGGTTTAAATTATGTAAATACTTTTGGGCATGCGTATTATTAAAGTGTTAGATATCCGGTGTCAGATTTCTACGACGGTATTCAATATCATTATCTGTAGAACTAATAATGCAACTTTTTACAATGTTAAACTTCCAAACAATAAAACGAAAACATGTTTCATTACATTTGCAGTTAAACCGCTGGTTTAAAAAATGTGTTTACATGTATGTCTATCGTTAAAATTAGTACAAATGTTTCCCAGTTCAGATTATTATCGATACTTCTGTTCAAGGCTAAAATTCGTTAGTTTGAAATTAACAAAATTAAGAACTTAATGATTGGCAATATTAAATCGAGACTGGTTAATTTTAGGGATGATTTTCATCAATTACCTGACATTATATCCTGCTTGTATATGTACAATAAATGACGTATGACAAAACAGTCCTGCTAGATATGAAGTTGTTTATCTCGATACCGTGAAGAATATATAGTAACAATAGTAAATATAGACAAAAAAAGCAAATTACTAAAATACGTGATATGACACATTGACTGCTTTCAGTTTTTGTACGTATTTAATTTCACAATATGTGTAGTATCGTCCATGTGATATAAATCAATAAAACTGCGGGAAACTTACGTTTTAAAAACCAAACCCTTTTTCTTTACCAGTTCTGCTTCAAGATAGGCGTTTCCACTCGCTGACATTTACAATGCCTATTTTACCGTTTAAATTATGTGTGAAACATAGCAAAACTAAAATCATTTTCGTGGTCATTTTGAACATTACTGACATTACTTTCGGTTTTGAATTATAACTACCCGTTTAAATTATGTGTCAGAAGCATAAAAAAACTAAAATCATTATCGGGGTCGTTTTGAAAATTGATAACAACTTTAGATTTGAACTTATAACTTCCGTGTTTAATATAAGAAACTGCCACGAATTTCTCTATTTTGAAACCTTCATTGTCTTGATTTAATTCAAAGTAAAACTAAAAAAGTTATTTTGTCAACAAAATGTTATTTAGTTAACGTAAAATGTTCACTTACCTGATACAATTAAGTCACCGTCTTCTGGATATTCAAAATGATTTGATAAAGCGCAATCGCAACTTTTCGGACCTTTCCGTCAGTCCTCGGATACGGACATCGAACACAATTATATGAATATGATATTTCTGTCTAAACTAAACATGTAAACAAAAAGTAATTTAATGCTGGGAAAAGTTGACAAGTTCATTTCCAATACATCAAGTAAAAGTCCACCTAAAATAAGTGATTTTAATAGATACAAAAGCAAGCAATACATTATTTATATATTTATTATTATGGTTGTAGAAACCGAAAGTACAAAAATGCAAACCTTTTGACATTAAGTCGTATTTGTTTAAAATTGTACATCAGTGGGCATTTTTTAATCAGACATAATTTCAATCATAATTGTACCAAAACATAACTATTTGCATTTGGGTGTCAAATACACATTGCAATCTATGTTTCTGTTTACACATCTGAAACCACGAGGTAGAACTACTTTCATTCCGTATTGTATAGAAAATGGCCGATGACGTTCCGATTGGCTAATGTGAAGACTTTCGGAAATCAGACAGGGGAACCAGAACAAATACTTCGTCAAATAAGATTGTTTCATACCGTCTTTAAAATTGTTGTCAAACTATAATGAACCCGTGTTTCGTTTTATCGTTACAATTACTGTTCTATGTCACAGGATTTTTGTCATGTAAACAATTATTTAGATATTACATATACATGTAAGTTATGATGCTTGTAATTGGTTGACACACATATCCAAATCTTATAACAAATACTGGTAATTTGTTATTATTATCAAAAAAAGTTGATGATACATGATTTCTCAAACAGATCGAATTTAGTGTTTTTACCCCAGCTTTTGTTAACTATTTCACAAGACAATTTGAATTCTACATACCAGGGATGATTTGTTGACCTGTACGTCGTGATTAACTCGGTTTGGTGTGGTCCAGTATAGAATCGATTTGGAAGGAAGATGTCTGGATGCTGTTGTTGTCTCCACCAGTTACCACCACGTACGAAAAACAGGATTTGCGGGACAATCTTCTTGAAAATGACCGACAAAGACGATGATGTATCTCGGACATATAGTTCATTCCGGTGACGACCATATATAAAACTTTACATCAACACATTCGCGTTATATTTGTTTAGTACCACCTGCATTGGTTGGAGGACCACGTGTGAAGCTCGTGCAAGTATAGGGGAAATCTCCGGAACCGGTCCTGGAGATGGACGATCGTGTTTTTCCTTAACACTGCCTACATAATAGAGGATAGCCATTTGTGCATGGTTTGCGTATACCATTTCGTCATTGTAGCATATAGCTACAACGTAATACTTTATAAGATATAAATAATACGACTTTTTGTCAATTTTCATAACCAACACAAAGTACAAATAGATCTAGTAATCTTGACAAACTAATAAAATCATGCTAGGAGTAATTTTAAATGTTGAAATATACTTTGCAGTTATACAAATGTCATTATTATAATGTTTGTAATGTTAATGTTATCAATAGCAATATACCTGCAAATAGGACAAATTTAGTTTTATATGGATCTGCTGTGGAATACTATTCGACACCTGTACAATTCCTGAATTACAATACATTGACATTGATTTTGTCTCCACGGAAAACTTCTTGTTACGGTTGCAGGAGTGTCTAATACCGAACAGACTCAAATCACCAAAAGTCAACTTATCTCACCACGTAATAATATTCATTGCTTTTGTTTAAATAATTTCTTTTGAAATCATCAGAAGAACGAAGGGGTGATCAATTTTGGATGTGCACTCCATATCTACCATTAGGTTACAATATAAGAAAACTGCACAGTAGTCGAAAACCATCGTGAGAGTGTAACGTGATCAGTGTTTACATATGTTGCCTGATGACATCCAATTAGGTACTTGTATTGAGGGAAGATTGGACAGTTTATTGCCTATAATGTTGCGGCTACTTTTAGTGTGTTCCAGCTACTGTGTATCAAGAGAGCATAATAAACAGGCGAAAACGCATTTTTATTCAAGGGCCGTTATCCGGCCAAAAATCACTCAAACGGAAAAATGTGCGCAAGTACTTGAGGTACTGATCATTTCCCCTCAAATTATATCAGTGGTTTAAGAGTTGTCCAGACAAACTCAAATTTCAGATTGCATAAGTATCATAAGATAAGTAGTTCGGACAATTTTTTTAAAAAGGGACCATAACTCTAACGAAAATTATTGAAGACAGACAGCAGACGACGGAAAAGTGATCTATAAGTCCTGGCTACTTTGCAGTATGTATCGGCTATTGTCAGGCACACAAAAATAACTAGCAGACCAAATGCTTTTTTTATTCAAGGGCAATAACTCAGTCAGAAATAATACAACCAGAAACCCCATGTAATATGCAGATTTATTTTATGCTTTTCAGTGGATTACTGATTTATCCGTGAAAATTATATTTGATAATTTCATAGTGAAAATTATCAAAATATATATAATTTTACACTTTTCAATGATGAGACTTCTTTTTTAAGATTTTCCCCATGCGGTACCTCAATTTTATTATTGTTGGCAAACTGACATTGTCAAGGCTGTTTAGAAAAAAGTAAACTTAAAGCTGAAATTGATAATAACTGAAAATTCAAAAGTAATAAAAAGAAGAAACTTACTTTAAGTCATTCAAATTACCAATCACCAAATATCGTCTCTTAATTTTTGTTTCATTTTTACAGTCTGAAAAATACAGTTTCTTCCACATGCAATACCATGCTCTTGATGACATTTGGGCATATTTAAGTAACCTTCTAGCAATAACTGCCTAATAACTTGAAAAAGCAATGACAGACACCAGCCGGAAGAATAAGTAAACAACCCAGCGTTCGTAAGGCAGCCTTTCAAAAATTCCATGTTTTCCAATTTCTTAGCCAATGAGATATATGTACCTACAGAGCTTCTTGTTCATATCTCTTACAGTGTCAGAGTTATGTTCCAGACAAAGTACAAAGTGAACAAAAGGCAATAACTTCAAAATTAGGCAAGGCAGAGTTATGGTTCTTTTGCACTGCACTTTTACCCAATGAGATATATCCACCTACAAAGTTTCATGTTGATATCTCTTAAAGTATTAGAGTACTTATTCAAACCTGAACCTAGATCAAGGGGAAAGATTACATAGGTGAGATGTGCACGACACATCCTCTTTATACCCAAGGCAAAACCTTGAAATTGCATCATCTTAGGTGACCTTGACCTCTGACCCGGTGACCTGGTTCGTGTGCATGGATGAAAATCTATGTCTAAAAAACTCAATTCATGTTATTTGAAAAGTCATCCATGCACAAAGAAGGTATGACATGGACAAGTTTGGACGCACGCGTGCAAACACAAAACAGCCATTTTGACAACTATGTGGAGCTCAGCGTAAGTGGGTTCGACAAAAGGCTTCTGACCACTAATCATAATACTTCACAGCATAAACAAGATACAGTGCGGGGAAACATATTTTGATATTATTATTTGACCTCTTGTGACCTTGACCTTCATTTTGCACAAGACATCTCAACTCACGAATATTAATTTTAAGTTATCTTAAATCTATCCATGTGTACAGAAGTTATACTCACAAATGAATGTTTTATTTTTTCATTTGACCTTTGACCTCTAAGTGTGACTTTGACCTTTGTCGCAGACACCTGATATTTTTGCGCAACACTCTGCCTCTCTTTGCAGAATACATGTCCCAAGTTATACAAGGCAGTCTGAAGGACAGCTAAATCCCCTTCCTTAGTGAACATGAATGTGTACTTCTTGACCTAATACCAACCATGACATTGATGTTGTGCCATGCATATCATAAGCACATAGTCTCATGATGTACATTATTTGTGCCAAGTTATTTAAAATCTTCCATAAAGTCCAAAAGTTGTGGAGAACATATAACCTTGACCTTGGGGGTAGCAACCTGGGTGTTGAGCTCTGCAGATTTGACATGGTGGGGATGATATGTGCCAAGTAATTTTAGAACCTTTGAATTGTCAATAAATTATAGAGCGGACATGAAAAATATATGTTTTCACATTTGGTCTTTGAGTGTGACCCTGACCTTCAGGGTTGTGACTTGATAAGTGTGCTCATCAATGATGTCATAATGGTGATCTGCCAAGTTATCTAAAAAACATTGCAGCAGTTTAAATGTTATGACGCGGACACGAAATGTAGACTTTCTAACATTTGACCTGTTAGTGTGACCTAGACCTTGGGGATAGCATTTTAACTAGACATATCACTGAAGGTGATTAATACCCCCACCAGCAACTTTGACTTTTTGAAAAAAAAGTAGCCTGAAGAAAAATTTGAACACAAACTATCAACTGTGTACAAAGAAATATTTCAATTAATTGTAATCGCAACTGGGGTCTCGAAATAAGCTTGCTATACACAAAGTTTGATTACAATATCTCATTCCTAACTGGTTATTGTCCGGAAACCATTTTTCTATTTTGAGTAACACTGTAACGGTGACCTTGACCCTAGGGGGTCCAAATGCAAAACCAACCCAGGTCTTCATATAAGCTTCCTATACACAAAATAAGATTACAATATCTCATTCCTAACTCTAGTTATTGTCCGAAAACCATTTTTCTATTTTTCGTAACGGTGACCTTGACCCAAGGGGGGCCCAAATGCAATACCAACCAAAGTCTTCATATAAGTTTGCTATACGCCAAGTTTGATAACAATATCTCATTCCTAACTCTAGTTATTGTCCGAAAACCATTTTCTATTTTTCCTAACGGTGACCTTGACCCCAGGGGGTGCAAATGCAATACCAACCCAGGTCTTCATATAAGCTTGTTATACGCCAAGTTTGATAACAATATCTCATTCCTAACTCTAGTTATTGTCCGGAAACCATTTTTCTATTTTTAGTAACGGTGACCTTGACCCCAGGGGGTCCAAATGCAATACCAACCCAGGTCTTCGTATAAGCTTGCTATACACCAAAGTTGATTACAGTATCTCATTCCTAAGTCAAGTTATTGTCTGGAAACCATTTTTCTATTTTTAGTAACGGTGACCTTGACCCAAGAGGGCCCAAATGCAATACCAACCCATGTCTTCATATAAGCTTGCTTTACGCCAAGTTTGATAACAATATCTCATTCCTAACTCTAGTTATTGTCCGGAAACAATTTTTCTATTTTTAGTAATGGTGACCTTGACCCCAGGGGGTCCAAATGCAATACCAACCACAGTTTCCACATAAGGTTGCTATATACCAAGTTTGATTACAATACCTCACTCCAAACTCTAGTTATCGTCCGGAAACCATGATGTGGACCGACCGACGGACGGACCGACCAAACGACCGACAAGCTGACTTCTATATACCCCCCCCCAAACTTCGTTTGTGGGGATATAATTATTGCACATCATCTCATAATGGTGATAACTTGTGCCAAGTTATTTAAAAAAAACTTTTCAGCGGTTTAAAAGTTATGGAGCTGACACAATTTGTAGACTTTTAAACATTTGACCTTTAAGTGTGACCTTGACCTTGGGGGTAGCAACCCAATTATTGTGCTCTGCACATGGTCTTATAAAAGTGATTCAATTTGCCCAGTTATTTTTTTTCCTAAATTTCAGCGGTTTAAAAGTTATGGAGTGGACGCAAAATGTAGACTTTTTAACATTTGACCTTAAAGAGTGGCCTTTACCTTTTTGGAAGCAATGATCACACTCTGCATGTTGTCTCATAATGGTGATCAGTTGTGCCTAGTTATTTTAAAAAATGTTCAGCGGTTAAAAAGTTATTGAGCGGCCACTAAATGTAGACTTTCATTATGAAATGAAGACTTTTAAACATTTGACCTTTAAGTGTGACCTTGACCTTGGGGTAGTAACCCAAGTATTGCGCTCTGCACATCGTCTCATTATGGTGATCACTTGTGCCAAGTAATTTCAAAAAGTTTTCTGCGGTTTAAAAGTTATGGAGCGGACTTGAAAGTGTAAAGGTCAAATTCAGTATGGTTTGCTTGAAAGTCTTGTCCAAAGGGTTCTTCCTAAAATGAAGACAATCCATTGAGAAATGTACAAATAATGGCCAAAGTTAAATTCTGGCAATGGGCAACAGCAACAAGAACAACAACCAGACTGTAGCAAAAGCTCAAAATTTTTCAATGAAAAATTCAAGCTAAAAATGACTGTTGGGGCCATTGTTTTCAATAACCTCTGTACAGTATTCCAGGCACCAACAAGAACCGGAGTAGAAACAACGACATTCTATAAGCTAGCTGGATAGCTTCCTCACATAAGAAATATAAGCCCCTGCCTTGATTCCAACCCTCAGCAGTAGGGATAGCTATTTTTATGTTTATGACTGAATATGAAAGACAAACCAATATATGATTGGAAAACAGAAGAAAAACTTTGTAGCAAGTAAATGGTCACAACTTTATTGACAATATCCATTTTGCTGGTCATAGTGAAGAAACCATCAATAGGCATAATGCCATATTCTATTACATGTAACCAATTCTAATAATATCTCATATGAATACACAAGTTTAATTATTAATTTAATGACCAGACACTAAAATCATTTATTTCTCTGTCAGAGTTTGTATGTAAAATTCCTCCTAACAATGAAAATACATAAACAAGAGGGCCATGATGGCCCTGAAGTCGCTCACCTGTATATAGGCCCCCAGAGTGGGGCCAGTTTAAACCCCAGGGCTTTTAAAAATTAACAAACTTGGTAGACACCCATTACAAGATGTTTCATGCTAAACAGCTAAGGTCTTGCTCGTTGAGATTTAAAAAAAAAAGATTTTTTAAGTTTTAACTATACACAAATAGTTCAAAGCAATGACACCCCTAGGACGGGGCCAGTTATGCCCCCAGGGCTTTTTTTTAACAAACATTGAAGACACTTACTATAAGATGTTTCATGCTTAATATCTAAACACTAGCTATTTGGTTTTATTCAAAGAAGATTTTTAAGTTTTTGCTATACACATATAAGGAAAATCAATGTCCCCCGGGGCAGGGCCAATTTTGAGCCTAGGGCTTTTATTTGAACAATCTTTGAAGACACTAACTGGAAGATGTTTCATGCTTAATATCTTAACTCTAGCTATTTGGGTTTTTTCAAAGAAGATTTTTTAAGTTTTTGCTATACACATAAATAAAATCAATGACCCTTGGGCAGGGCCAATTTTGACCCCAGGGCTCTTATTTGAACAAATTTGATAGACACCCATTAGAACATGTTTCATGCTAAATATCTTAGCTCTAGCTATTTGGGTTCTTAAAAAGAAGATTTTATAAGTTTTTACTATATGCATATAGGGAAAATCAATGACCCCTGGGGCGGGGCCAATTTTGACCCCAGGGCTTATATTTGAACAAACTTGATAGACACTCATTAGAACATGGTTCTTGCTAAATATCTTAGCTCTAGCTCTTTGAGTTCTTTAAAAGAAGATTTTTTAAGTTTATACTATATGCATATAGGGAAAAACAATGACCCCGGGGCGGGTCCAATTTTGACCCCAGGGCTTTTATTTGAACAAACTTGATAGACACTCACTAGAAGACGTTTTATGCCAAATATCTAACCTCTACCTCTTTGGGTTTTTTAAAAGAAGATATTTTAAGTTTTTTCTATCGGTTGCCATGGCAACAAGAGTTCTGCATGGAATTAAATTCTTTGAACAATTTTTAAAGGTGACCACCAAAGGAACAATCCTGTGAAGTTTGGATAAAATTGGCTCAGCGGTTTATGAGGGGATGTCATTTAAAGTTAAAGTTTACAGACGCCGGATGGCCGGACGAAAAGCGATCACAAAAGCTCACCCTGTCACTTTGTGACAGGTGAGCTAAAAATCTCTTGTTCGATTTATTGCTAAAATCACAATTATTTCTTGGTTAACTGATGGAATAAGACATTATTTCAGGCACATTAAGCAAGAAGAAACATTGTAGAAACATCTATCTTGTGTAAGCTACCTGAATATCTTCCTTACATTAAGGAATCTAAACTCACTGATGGAATTATGGAATTAAAATTCACAACGGTGAGGGGCTAGGAGTTCGACGTCAACATCTTTATCATCTGAAATATATTTCACTCATTTAACTCATTTATCTGACCAAAAAAGACAGATTGGTGGTGTTTCATACGACAACAAATAATCACAAGTAGAGTGTAGTTTCAGCATTTATTTGTTTTCTAAATCTACTCTAATATATATATTAACTCTGATAGTTGTTTACCAATACAATGATAGCAGTGTACAGATTTCATCTTTCATAGACCATGATAAACAAAAACACTTGTCTAAATGTAAAAACTACAAAATATTAACAAACTAGTATTAAAAAGCAACAGTAACTAACATAATGTACACAAGTGTATAATTATAATATAAAAAAAAAACTCTCTCATTAAGTTTTGATATGAAAATGTTGACTCAAAAAAAATGTGAATTCTTTTTTCATAAGTTTAAATAACATTTCAAAAACAGATATGAAATGATTTTATGTGGAATTTGATCCCACCCTTTGAGTATAGAACAGTTCACAACGAAAGAATATTCATGATATTCATATTTGTCATTCTGTTGTTATCTTCCTTTGAAATATTAACATTAAATGCAAATTTATTAGTTTTTAAAAAGATTTTAAAGAGAAAGGTAAGTTATGAATGAGGTATATGAATAAAAAGATTTGTTATAAGGACAAGGGTATACTAATGTAAAATCATGGGCAAAATATGAGACAATGCTATTTCATATCTATATAATTAGGCACAGACTAGTTTCCATTGTGTCCCTTAAAATGATATAAACCATTTCACTTAATTTAAAGGGTATAAAGCTATATCTTATAAAAAATGATCCGCCTCATGACAAAACCAACATAATGTGTTTGCAACCAGCATGAATCCAGACCAGCCTGCGCATCCGCCCAGTCTGATCAGGATCCATGCTGTTCGCTTACAAACCCTATAACAAGTTGAGAAATTGATAGCGAACAGCATGGATCCTGATCAGACTACGCGGATGCGCAAGCTGGTCTGGATCCATGCTGGACGCAAACACACTATGTTGGTTTTGTCACGGCGCGGCTCAAAACATTTTTTTTAAATCAACAACAGTTAAATCATATTGGTTCCATAACGTTACAGTCAATTATCAAGAGTTGTAATACAGAAAGTCTCTGTTATTTATTACAAATAAATTTTGCATGTAAACAGAACAAAAATGAACAAAATATATTACCCTCGTAGTTTAAATAGGGTTTTGTAAGTTTAGCAAAGTTTAGCAATGATTTTGTGCATGCAACATTCGCTTTAAAGGCAATATACTACAATATATATTTCATGCAAGCATTTTGAAAGTATTACTTTTAAAAATTCAAACAATAAGTTTTACAGCATATATATTATATAGCTTTATACACTTTAAAACATATGGTGAAATTGTATTCATTTTGAATATCATTTATTTAAAAAAAAAAAACTAAGGAAGAAAAAAAATGTGCAAGTTCACTGAAAGAATCCATTCTTAAATTTACTTAAAAGCTGCAACATTTTCAAATCAAAAGCTTGCCATAAAATCGCGGCCATGTTTTTAACACTGTAAGTAAATGTACAACTATAACATATATATATATATACTGGCAAAAACACAACGAAGAGTAAAATTTTAAATACGCAGTAAAAATATGTACCATACAATATATATTAAATGGAGTCACCAACAATATAACATTGAATAAAAGAGTACGAAATCGTTCATAAATTGACATCAAAAATTTGTTTCCTTCCTTTTTTTTATAAGAAAGATTCTTAATCAGTTGTAATTAACTCAAATCTATGACAATCTTTACTGTTATTATGAAATATCCATTAATACCAATATTTTTAACAATTTTCAATGTAAAATTTTAAAAATAACAATAACTAAATATCATAACCATCCATAATGCTATTAAGAAACAGTAGTTAATAACCAAGACTGAAAACAATCTGTAATGTTATTATGAAACAGTGACTGTTATTAATAACCAAATATCATACCCAGCAGTAATATTATTGGAACAGTTATAAATAACCAGATTTCATAACCATTATGTAGTGTTATATGGCACAGTCATAATTAACCTAATATTATAACCATTTTGTAATGTTCATATTATACAGTTATAATCAACCAAATATCATAACCATTTTGTAATGTTATTATGATACAGTTATAAATAACCAAGCATCGTAACCATATGTAGTGTTATTATTCAGAAACTGGTTATATAACGCTATGAGTGTCGTTTCACTTGACAGTTATGTTTTTATACTGAAATTACGGGGGGAAGTCATTGCAGTCAGCTATTTTTACATGGCGCATTGTGTCACACACATTAAAAAGTGCATCAATAGCGCATGTTTATTTGATTTCATCCTATAATGTTTACCTGCCTGCAAAGTTTTTATACGATCAATTAAAACAAACATTTTTTAAACATGTTGTAAGAAAGAAGTAACATTGAAATGTAAGTTAATAATACTAAGGTTGCAACCTTAACAATGTTAAATAAAGCCAGATTTTTATCGTAATTATCTTAATTTATCAAGCCAAAACTATAATACTGACACAATGATTCAACAATAACACAAAAGTAGCCAATTAAAAATGATCTTTATGTAAGGTAAGGGATTATCACATGTTCATTTTAATAAAAAGTCATCATTAAGTTCTTTTTTCTTTTTTGTTTATCTTTTATACTGATTTCTTAAATATAAACTGTTTCTAGAAAATGGAAAAAAATGAAAACAGAGTTAGAGTTAAGAAAATGTTCTTATGTATCTAGGGCTTGAACTTCAATAAAATAAACTAAACTGATGATAAACTGTTAATCTGTAAAAATTTAAAAATACTTATGTAAACACAAATTATTTGAACATTTTCCTACAGTAAAGAAAAAAGAATGCCATCAAAAAAGATTCTACCATGTCTGCATTAAACTAGTACGGAACCAGAGTGATGTGCCAATAATGAAATAAGAATTACGCATCCATGATATACTCTTTAAAACCACGTTAATTAACATTAAGCCACATATAAACTTAAACGACATTTTTTTTTAAATTTCAGTTCTAAAAAAATTGAGTACATAAATCATCTTAAGTGTGAAACACTGTTAGTACAAAATGAATTTTGGTAAAAATATCACTCATATGTGATTATGCCTGGTTTTTTTGTTGTGTATCACTTATCTAATTGGGAAGCATCGATTTTTTTGGGGGAATTAAAAAGAGAGAAATTGTGAAAATTGCTGTTTATTTTTCATTGGGAACAGTGCCGTTTTCAGGTATAAGTTGTATAAGCAAAGAAACAACATTGATCACAAACGATCACACATGGATTTTTAGCTTTAACGTCTTAAGACTTCACACACATTTATCTTAATAAAGAGATAATATTAAAATGTGCACAATTTTTCTAGGACAATATTAACAGAAATAAATGTAAATAAACAATCTTTCCTTATAATTAAATCCCACAAATATTATCAACAAAGTTGTAAGTATTATTTTTATAGTAGTTATTCCGTACAAAATAGCTAATCTAAATAAGTCCACAGTAAAACAGATAAATCCCAAAAGTTTGGAAAATACAAGCTTAATATTGTGTAGGATAAGCCACACTTAAATTCCAATTGTTCCTGGAACAAACCAGTATTGAGCAATGCGTGTAAAGTTTCTTGCTCAAGAAAACGACTCCCCACTCCCCCCTGACAGAGTTTAAACCCATGCGCTTACAATGATTAGAAATGATTGGGGTAAATTTATATATATGTAACAAACTTTGGTAAATGTAATAGTAACTTTGTAGGAGTGAGCATTATTTAATTCATAAAGGTTCACATGTTTTGGTCACAAAATATATAACACAGGTGGTCATTAGCACAAGAATGATTGTACTTTTGCAGTATTGATTTCATTTAAATCCTTTTTTTTATAACCCTTTAACCTAACCCTTTAACCTATAGCTTTCGTAATAATAGACTTAACCATTACCACTCAAAATATTTTATTCTTTCAAAATAGACTAAACCATTTATCATTTTGAGGGAAAATTTTCAAAGTAAGAAATGACTGAATTATTACAGCAAAGAGTGCAGATCACGACTGGACGGCATGGGAGTGCCAGCTGATCTTGGTTTGCATTGGTTGCGCGGGTAGAACCAGGTGCTGCCAGCAGGCTTAAGATTGAGTAACACGATAGTCGACAGTTTTAAATTTCAACCATTACGGGCTCATTATACAAATTTTAGACAGGTTAAGATTTGAAAACAAAACAATAGTTCTGCTTTGTTCAAAACCCATTATAGAAAATAAAAAGAGTTGCTTATAATAAATAAATACAATGTATATGATAATCTATATCCATGAGATGCTATATAACATTTTGTTCTAAATCTGTACAGTGACCAAAAATATATATCTACAAAAAGAATAAAATGGGTTATAATTTTACAAAATAATTAAAAAAAACAACAACAACAACAAATAATCAGTAAAATGTGTACATAAAATAATTGATCATATGGCATCTGAATCGTAAACTTTGGTTAAAACGTTCACACACAAAAAGATAAAACAACATTAATAAGCAGCATCAATAAATGACTGATGTTAAAATTTGAGCGGCGTCATGACAAAACCAACGTAATGCGTTTGCAACCAGCATGGATCCAGACCAGCCTGCGCATCCGCGCAGTCTGATCAGGATCCATGCTGTTCGCTTACAAAACCTATAACAAGTAGAGAAACTGATAGCGAACAGCATGGATCCTGATCAGACTGCATGGATGCGCAGGCTGGTCTGGATCCATGCTGGTCGCAAACCCACTATGTTGGTTTTGTCATGGCACGGCTCAAATGTATAAAAGATCACAACAAATATTACATAATTTATACCATTTTTATACCATTAAAAAAAATCAATGTAAAAATTGCATGCCATTAAAAAACTTTGGGTTAGAAAAGTTGTGGTATACACACTATACAATGCCAGGCATTTTTTTTTGATATGCAAAAATAAAATTTATTTACATACAAAGTGATTTTTGTTTTCAATAATTTCATTATTGAAAGATTTCATCTTCAGGATTTTCAAATCTAGAAATTAAAATCCCATATTTTTAAGCCATTGTCACAAACACAATAATTCATTAGTGACAGCCATTTAGTAATTTAAGATTATTATAAAAATTACAAAAAAAAACAAAAAAAAAACCACAACTATAGCGTTTTACAAATTATGAAATTATATGCAGCAGGAACGAATGTTTTGGAATAGCAAGCGATTAACCTTTGCCACCAGTACAGGGCCAGACACAACTGTGCAATCTAACAAGACTCTATACTCTTTTAGACCACAGCTTTTTTTATATAATGATGGTTTCCTTTTATTTATAATTTGCAATGAAAGTTGTACTCATTAATTTTTAATTCATGCATGTAGTACTTTCAAATGCATTTATACTTGCAGGTATTGAAAAACAAAACACCCTCTTAATCTTAAGAAATCAAGTGTTTGGTGTTCTTTAAAACCTATTTTAGTTCAGATGATTTTCTTCTTCTGTACTTTCACCTTTAATTTGTACTTGCCACAGTCACGACCTAGGCTTTTACATAATTTACTATACCTTAGGAAGTAGCAAAATGAACAAAGTGAAATCTAACGGTCCCCATACAGTCATTGCTGCGAGCTTTAAAAAATCCCAACCCACTCAGATCTTTAACAATGTAAATTTCATTTTGACTTCTATTCAGAATATAGACCCTTTTCTTTGTTATCAAAAAAAGTAAATTACAACCGTTACTTTCATAAAGTAAATGTACAACAAATCATGGTCAAAACTAAATAATAAGCCTATAATACATATATATAAAACTTAACTTTGATTCTGTAACTTAATGACAAAGAAGTATATATAGTACATTTATATCAACCAATGATATTGCTTTTTTTTCACACAAAAAAAACTTAACAAATGCTTCCATCTAACTGATTTCTGTCTTTGTATATACATGTACAATATCAAAATGATTCGATATTCTTCAATAAGAACAGATGAAGATGTATGTAAATGGTAATGAAGTAACAAAAATGTTAAACAACGTTGTCTTCCTTTTTTGCTACATGACTAATGTAATAATATGTTTACAATTAAAACACAATTTTTGCTGAAACATTATTTGATACTTAACTACAGTCTAACAGTTACAACAATTCTAAAAATACTTGTTCATCATATTATACAACACGGAACTATGGTGTCTGTACGGGTCCTGCAACTGTGCGTCTGGAGCCGTCATGTTCGGTCTAGGAACCGGAACCAGATCACGCTGAGGATTTACACTATCGGATGAGTGCGCGAGCTTCGCAGAAGCTGCTGTGTAGTTTTTATCGTTCATGTTCATAAATGGATATGGTGTGTTTTGAGTATAGAAGCTACGATGGGGGTAATCTCGACCAAACACTGAATGTTGAGAAGGTACACCAGGTAAAAATGGATTATTTGTATTGTCTGTTATATGCTGAGAATGATACATAGGATCACGAGAATAAAACTTTTCAAAGTTAAATGAACTGTTCATTCCAAACATCTCAGAAGCACTTGAAGTTGGAGGTAGAGATCGAAAATCGGTAACAGCCGTCGACGGTTGGCGGTACCGTTCATCAAGAGATTTCTGTGAGGAGCTATGAGCACTCCTTGTGTAGTCAACCGGAAGTGATGGACCTGCTTGGTAACCATGACTACTAAGATAACTACCAAGGTCAAAACGATCAAATTGGAAAGTGTCATGGGGAATTTCTGGACGCTGAGAATGAGCCGATGACAATGTTGAAAACATATTTCTTTCCGCAGCTGCACGAGATGGATCAAACATGAAATCTCTGCCGGGAAGATAAGCGTCTTTGCCAAACAGGGATGAAGAAGCAGACCCAGCCTGTTGCTGTAAATATGTAGGATGACCCCAATGTGGTGGCCGGACATCTTGACCTGTCCATGAGCTGTGAAATGGATTTCTCGACATAGAGCCTGTAACTCCAGCTGCAGCTCCTGAAAACATTTCCTCTCTACCAGGTACATGCCTAAGCAAAGGAGAAGAACTGTTATTGTGTGGAAGCGGCCCTTCCGCTATACGATGAAGATTTTGAAGATTACGATCATATGACGCAGATGTCATTCTCTGACGCTGAAGCATAGCTTCACTTTCAGGAAATCTCATAAAACTTGGACTTGTGATAGGTGGACTTGGAGCCTTACTTTGTTCTGGCTGACGTAAAATTGTATCTCTTGATGGAACTGATGAACTGTAGGGATCTAAAGGATTACCGGTATATTGGGGATCAAAAGATGGCACACTTGGAATTCTTTCTGATGAACGATTATGAACACTTTCGACACTACGGGGCTGGTACATTTCTGGAGCACGCTCCGGAGATATCAGGTCAATTCTTTTGTGCGATAAATCAGCAGGCGGTGATTGCATCTGTATGCTTCCCTCTGTCTGATTGGATGTTAATGAAGATGGCACACCACTATCACTTCGTGGAGCTTCAACAATTTTATCCTGAGATTTTGGGTTTTCGTCTATACTACTCATCCTATTAATCTGACCTTCAGACTGATTACACTGGATCTCTTCAAAAAATCTTCCAACATAATCTTTGTCTACTTCAGGCATTGAACTTTCATCAGTATTTTCTTCATTTGTTTGTCCCTGAACTGGATTTTTCATAATACGGTCACCAGTTTGATGTTCAATGCTTCGAGATTCATGATATTCTTGATTTGCAGATGGGGTAGGGGGTACACTGTTATGGGATGGCGTATGAGGAACACTACTATGATGAGAAAGTGGATTCTCGTGCTCATTATTAACAGAGTCATTTCTGGTATAAGGATTTACTGACCCAGGAGTACCCACACTATGTGGCACCATGTCTTTTGGTGTAGAAGTATCTACAGAGTTTACATATTCACTAGTTTTAACACTATCATCAATTTCTCGTGAACTTTCAAAATCTCTAGAAATCTCTCTTGATATTTCCCGAGAGGATTCGAAATCTCTCAATGGTTCATTACTCATGGCCGAGCCATTGAAATCTTCATTTTCTGGTCCGGATTCAATATCCCCATCCTCACTGTCATACATTGGAGGTGGTCTTGGAGCAGGTGGGGGTTTCAAATCTTCATCAAAGTCAGAACCTATATCACTACTTTCACTATCACTCTTTTTCTCTTCTGTTTTACTCTCGTTAACAACATTTTTTATCATAAAAGCACTATTTTCTTCATTATCACTTTTATTTTCTTCACTTTCAGGTTTATTCTCATCCTGTAAGTTTTCATGATCATGCACCATTTCATTTGTGTCAGGCATACTGTCTTTGGTACTGTCACCAAACAATTCATTACTTTCAACTTCACTATAATTTATTGTAGCATCACCATTTTCAGGAACTATTACCTGATCACTCTTCTCTTCAGTTTCCTTTACAACTTTTTTCTTCCTTCCTCGCTTCTTTGGAACCTTCTCTTCTTGTTTTTCATCTTTAACTTTCTTCTTGGGTGGTCTTCCTTTACGCTTTGGTGGAGGAGGTGCATCTTCATCGTCATCATCATCGTCGTCGTCATCATCATTTCTATTTTTCTCCTCCTTTTTTGCCTTTGGTGATCTTCCTCTACCACGCTTACCATGTTTTATTTTCTCAGGTTTTTCTTTGGTTTCCTTACTCTTTTCATCCTTACTTTTTTCAACTTTATCCTTTTCCTCAATTTCTTTCTTTTGTTTTTCTACTTCACTTTTTTTCTTACGTCCACGTTTCTTAGGAACCTTGACTTCTTCAGGCTCTGTTTTTTCAGGTTTTGGTTTTGGTTTCGGTCCTGGTTTCTTCCGGATTTTCTGTGGTTTTTCAGGTTCATCAACTTCATCTTTCTCTTTATCATCTTTGGAAGATTTTTTGATATCGGGCAGAAGGTTGGCATCAACAGGGGGTAGTGGAGGCTTGTCTTTGTCATATTCCTTCCGCAACAAACCTGGAAACATGTAAAAAATATCATTTATAAGCATGTTAATCATATACATCAAAAGAACATCCATGATTTTTCATTAAAATTTAATGATGATTGATTATTCATTAAATGTACAATTTTAGTTTTCATGGGCAATCCATCCACAGGTTGCAATCGTGATCTCACGTTAGCACTGATCATTAACGTAATTGTGGTTTTAATTTTTTTTGTAGATTTTTTTTTTTTTTTGCTATTAACTTAATTTAAGAACAAAGTCTTCATTCATCATAACATAAATCAGGACATACAACATATACACACTAACTTCGTGATGCAATGGTTTCAGACAGATACAATTTTTTACAATTAAATACAACAATTTAAAATTCTTGTTTCAAAACTTTTTGTTTTCTTGTGTTTATAATCTAGTATGTTTTCAATGCTAAATCTTTATATATCATTCTTATATAATCCTTAGATCATTAAAAGTATCAACACAGAGAAACTGGTATCACTGTTAAAAAGACAATTATCCTAGTCATTTATTATGAAGTCCTTATCATAGCTCTTTTGGGAAAAAAGTACCTAGGCCAGTTTGGTTAAATTTGCATCATAAAATTGCTTAATTGGGAAAAACATTTAGTACCATTTGAAACCTTTCAGGCACTTTTAGGGCAGTATTTGAATTGTACGACAATGTTATTTCTAACCAATACAAATAACAATCAAAGCAAAACATAACAATAGTATTTGAAGATAAAATGTGAGAAAATATAGTATTAAGTAAGTAAGGACTTTATTTAACGAGGCTTACACATTCGGTTTCCCGATCTTCCATGTGGGCCTCAGAATATAAATATCTGTTCGTTAGGTACAGGAATGAATGTCAATTTCTTTCTTTTTTCATATTGGGAATTTCAGTTTTCAGAATTCTTTTTTTAATTTTGGGAAAAAATAAGCATACTTGCCATTGGGAATGGGTCTGATATTCTGACCCATGGTGACACTGGGAAAAAGCCAGAGTACCAAAAATCAATTCAATACTAGACTGATTAATAGTTTGCCAATCTACCTAAGTCAATGTGTTTGAATCCTGTTAAATATTCAGTTATATTGGACAAAAAATAATTTCAAACACTAATGAAGGAAAAGAATGATCAATAAAATTAAACCTTCAGAACACTCCCTGGAACAGGAAGCTATAAACATTACTTTAAAGTGTCTGCCTACATTAAAACAGTTATTTTTAAACTTATACTATCAAACATCAGTCTTTTACAGATTCAACAAAATGTCCTATCATTATTGACTTTTCTATATTTATACATTTATGTAGAAATGAAAAAATACTTCATATACCACCAGCAAACCATATAAATAATCAAATAACTGGCCAATTTCTACAAAGTTTATAATAATACAGAACGATAAAATGACAAACCTATGCCAAAGAAAACCTAAAAACATTCACACAGATTGGAAACTTGTCAGTCAAGGACATTATTTATAATTTTATCGATTTTATCACAATTACAGTTCAAAATTACGCTTTTTTTTCCAGACGCCACTCCTAGACTAAGATCATTATTTTTGTTTCCTCAAGACCTGTTTACATGTAAATTAATAGGCCTGACTGTATTGTCATCTGTAAAAACTTATCAAAATTATAAACACTAGCAGCAACAAGAACCATTCTCAGTGAGAGTCAACCTCTACCTTTTTTCCCTATTTTCAGTTCAAACACAACAGGGAAAGAACATTTTCAGGTGAGAGGTTTTAAAAAAAAACATCATTCTTTCCTATAAAGAATATTTTAATAATAATGGAAACTAGAGCTGCAATATCAACCCAAAAATGTTAAAACAATATTTGCCTGAAACCCACAAGATTCAGATGTCATGTCAGTGAGTTACTGAAAAGTAGTGTTGCTACAAAATCCTCATGGGGACAAGATGTTGGGATTCATAAACCCAAAGGCCTAAAGTGCTAATCTTCTTACAGATAAAGAGGGAATCCGGATATTCATTTTGTTATCAATTTTTTACAGCACCTTTCAGTGTCAGAATAGGATAACTATGGTTTCAGTCATCGTTTGTTTGTTTCTCTGGTTTTTACACCAATTTTACACATTTTAGGTCATATCTTGGTCCCATTCATTGCTTTCCTAGATACACTATAGAACTGACCCATCTTTACCAATTTCTCAGCAAGTGCCTTACTGACTTCAAATCCCACATGATTTCTGAATTGGCGGTGAAAAGACCAATGACCCTAAGACTGAATGTCCGAGATCAATTACCAATGAGAAATTTTGCTGCACTGAATTTCAGTCAAAGATTCTATTCTTTTGCAATAATAGAAATCTTAGCTGCTTTAGAAACTGTTACAATGGGAAGATAAGACTATTCATTATATCAGACTGCAAAGTCTATTTATAGTAACACCAACAACATTCCTTTCAAAGTATCCTGCATTAAAGTAGAAACAATGATGCTATCATAACTGAGACAACAAAATATCTCTACTCAAATCATTCCAATGCGCATTCTGCAGTGGAGAGTGGCTTTTTTATTCCACACTTCAAAGCCAGGGTACCCAGTGGGAGCAAATTAATATTGACTGAAAACTGCAATGACATTTTAAATACATTTTGTAGGAATAATTACTTATTGATTTTAACATTTTCTAAGACTCTTGCTGGTAGAGATTTTCAAATCTGTAGGGTAGAATCGTAATTTAAAGAGAGTAGATATGCGACAGTATCATATAACCAATTATAACTGTGAAGTAATATTAATCACCTGTTGTTGTATTTCTCCCTTTAATTATTTCATATTTGTATACCTTTATACCCAATCACTTGTTCCCATTATTTTATTAAATAATAGACCATAATTATGTGATACCGATAGTAAAAACATGAAAATTATTTTACTCCCCAGCTTAATCTGTTAAATTTCCTCAATTTAATAAAAACTGACCTTGAAACTCAATGTCATTTAAGGGTCAAGGTTTCATTTTAATAACAAAATGAAGCTCTTATGCAAACAGAAGGTACCCTAACTCTAGCTTAAACAATGGGTTTATTTCAGGTTATACGTTAAAGTCATATGCAGACAGTCGGACGGACAAACAATTATACACCTTAATTTATCAACTGATGTTAACATTAAAACAAATTGTTGTAATATTATATGATATACTAATTTTACAATAATATAGAATTATTAATGGAGTCTTCTTTTCTTGCAGATAAATGACCTACTTAACTAAACACTGATTAAAATATTTTGACTTTAACTAATGCTTAGGTTCCAATTCACCTTCCCACTATAAAATCCTTGGACAATTAATTAGTATATACAGCTAAAATTGTCTTTATCAGTCTAGAAGTTCATTTGCCAAATTCAAGGGTCTTAAATCCTGTTTAGTGAGTAACTAAACACAGGGTTGTCATGAAAACTTTATTCTGAGACAGTCTGTTTTTAATTTAAAGTGAGTATTTTTGGCTTTATCACATACAACAAAGAGTGTTTTCTAAGTTTTTAGGCACACCAAAAATGCATTTGAGACAGTCATTTGACTCATTTTGGAATACAGCCGACTCCCAATGACAACCCTGCAACATGTGGTTTGACACTCAAAATTGAGTCATCTTGCATGGCAGAATTTTACTGAGATGGGAAATTTTAAATATGGCATTCTACATTATAATATATTTTATATAATCATGGTATTGGAATCGATGAGTGTCTTTAAACTAGAGTTTGACTGTAAAATACACATAAAGTCACATATCTTGATTTTTTTTCAAACCCATTGGTGCCAGCTTTTCTGAATTATCTCCAGTCTGGCATAAATCGTTTGCAATTCAAGATCTGTTTAAAACCTCAATTCTAGACATCCAAGATGAAAGCCAAACAAAAAAACAAAAACCTCTCGTATTTAGAACTTCAGTAAAACCATACCTAAGTTGCACTTGTAGAACAAATGTGAAAGCTAATAATAAGAACCTGTTAAATCATACATCCAAAGCACATAGGTAATTACTGAGATAGTCTCTATAATGTATATTTACCGGCATTTTAACTGTATCGTTTTTGTTTTTTTTTACATATGATGAAAAGGTACAGAATTACGAAAATTCATGAAAGATACAAGAAATGTTTTCAATTAGTTGAATACATTTTGTTTAAGAATATTTTGATATATGTATAAAATTATGTATCCCTAGTGCTCAGAATTGAAAACTGATTATTCGTGCCTGATTTAAACACACTGACGCATGAATTGTTGGTCGAATATCTGACCCAAACCAAAACAATTCTTTAAAACCAACCAATTTCCATTTTCCAAAGACTCAACCCAAACACTATATGTCTTTGTGTAGTTTGAATAAAGTAGTAGTAGTTTTCTTATTTCAAAAATGTAAAATTGGTGGTGTTAAAGGTGTGTTGTCTGTAAAGGCCAAAAATTTAACCACACCGAAAATATGTGCCTGATAATTATGAAGTTTTTGTTGTTGTTATTTTAAAAAAAAGATCTCAATTTTTTTTTTTAAATTAACATTATTTTTTTATATGCCGGAACAGCAAACTTTTCATGTAAATCAATCTGTCTTTAAACTGTTACTTTTTCATAAATACTGTAACAAGTTATTTCAAACATATTAAGTTTGCTACGAAATTTTTTTTTAAAAAGGTTTAAGTTGCTGGTGTTAAAAAGGCAACAATATCACCTTGTTTTTTAATCAAACCTGTGATAAAATTTGAAATCAGCAACATTCATATATAATACATACATCAAGATCGGACATGAATACTGGGAATATCTGTAATCATAATTAAATTTAAATGCTCAATACACTCCTGTTGCTATCCAGCGATTTAAACTTGTGCTTTTAAAACAAACGTGAACTCTGTATATTGAGACCTTATCAATAAAGATAACGGCCTGTAACTATGGGTAAATTGATTATTTAAATAACTCAGCTAACAAAAAGACTGAATTTTCCATCCATTGCCGTCGACTATATTACAGGAATAATTTATAACCGACTACTTGCCAGTTATTAATTGATTATTCCTTTGCAATGTGTTTTGACTGATCAATAATATTTTGTAATGATTTTGATTACGCTTTTCAAAAATTTCTATATTTACAAAGGAACGATATGTGACATAACAAGGCGCATATCAACCGTGACATTGTGCGACAAACCTGTCCTAATTTACATGGCAATTGCAGAGCCTGAAGTCTATTCATTATGTCAATGCATGTGGTAAATGTGTAATATGGATTTTCATTCTACAGATATTGCCTAATGAAACACATCAAAGCTATTGGTATTTCTTTCTTGAAAATTAAACGCAACAACATAGAGATGTGACATATGTAGACTTCAATAATACACTAGACAAATGCCATGATCTGCTGTTATTGTTTTCAGCCGACAATCTCAAGTTACATCTCCTAGCTTAACATCCTAACAGCTTTTTCAACATATCAATACAGTAACCTACTGTATTACAATAAAATACTGCAGCCTACATCACAATAAAATCATAGCAAAAACAAAGAGATAACTTTCAAGTTGACATGAAACAAGAGCTGTCAGTAGGACAGCCTGCTTGACTATATTCAGTGCTTGGCATGGATAATGTAGAATATTCTATCTTCAAAAAGGGCTATAAATCTGTCAAAATCCATGTTAGAGTTATGGACCTTCACTGGCAGCCTATTATGCCCTGAAATAACGTGTGAAGCATTCCCTTCAATAGTTTTTTGAGATACCAACTCCCATGCAAATAATTAACCAAAGTTAAAGTGACTAGCTCTCCCTAGTCTTCAAAAAGTCCAGCTAAAAACGAAATGAGTCACAAGATTTTAGAAAAGAACACAAAACGAAAACAACTACCAGTACATGAGCTGTATCGTAACAAAATGGTACATACAAAACTGAGATTAAATAAAGGTAAAGTTACTAAAAAAAGGACAGTCCTGCACAAGTCACATCATCAATACCTAGCATCTTCTACACTTCTGATATTAAATTTTCAATATCAAATTATCAACTCATTCAAATATAACTTTTTAAATGATTCACATTTATAAGCTCCCTTTAAGGGAATCTGTGTAAAACAACCGATGTTTTCTTACATTATGAATCAAGTTCCTGACGGCAAGAGGTTTCAAGTCAACAACCTAAACCACTCGGCAAGTCTGATAAAAATATTCAAAAATACTAATATTTATAAGACTTGTGAAGCAAACTTTGTGTTATCAATTTTTATATGAATTCTTAATTTCAATACTATCAATTGATGTCATCCTCTTCACCTATAGAGACAAAAGTGATTAATTAACCTTAGCCAGCCTGCACTTCAGAGATTTCTTACAATGTTCTACAGTATTGGCAGAAAAGGCTTCAATTTTTCACCGTTATATCCAAAATTGATGATTTCAAAAAGGGAAGCCAGACAACTGTATTAGAAACAATGATTTACTATTTTAGAAATTCAGCAGGTAAAGCATTTTTCCTAACAAGGTTGATACAGCATGTGCCTTTCCCAAAATAAAGTTTAAAATTTTAAAGCAATTAAGATACTGTACCTGGCTTCATTTCATCACTCGATTCATCTTCACTCTGGAACTCGTACATATCTGTTTTCTTTACCCTCTTTACATGTTCCTTAAATTCTTGCAGATCATTGGTTGAGGTTGTTGCAGACTGACTGTTACAATGGTTTTGATTGGTCGAAACTATGGAGGCTGGACTGATGTCAGTCTCTGGATGCATGTGTTTAGTGTCTGTTTAATTTAACACTATTTTCAGAATTTTAATTCAGAGTTTTTATGTGATTTTTTCCAATGATCGTTTTTCTCTCATCTCTTCGTTTTCACAACTGTTATTTAACCACATGTGTAGGGCCTCTCTGTAGAGTCTTTTGTAAAAGAATTATCATGATTAGTGTCTTGTGACCTTCCACGGTCGTCGATTGTTCAGAAGTATTATTTAAAGAATCTGAACTTGCTGTTGCTAATTCTTCACATCGTATGTCAGCCTTACTAATACTGTCAGTTTGTCACTTCACTTTTCGATACAGAATGGCTGTTCAATGAAGATGTTTTTTGGAGATACCGAGATCATCAGGTAAAAGTTTCAGGATGTTTTTTCTTCATGTGAAACCTGATTGAGTTTTTTGTCTGCACGTGTACTCACAATGTTCGCATTTTAAGGGTTTCTCGTCGGTGTGCACGAGCAAATGGGAACTTTCAGTGAATCAGCTGTCCTGAATGCCCTTGTACATGTAATAAACGTTTGCAAAAATGGGTTCTGTTGTCTGAAAATAAAAAATAATAGAACTTTATGTTTAATACAAATGTATAATAAAAGAAATTGTATGCAAGATCAAAAATGCTTGGACCGTATTATATAAAACTTTGTTCATAAAATACAGCTTTACATCCGAGCTATCTTGAGACCATACATGCATCTTTTATCAGTTTTTAACCCATATTTTTCTTCTTCCCATTCTTTAAATCAAAGTAAAAAATTATATAATATTGTGAGACCATTCATATTCGAAGTTATGCATTTCATTTATCTATACACATGTACATGTATACATAAATATCATTCTTTTTTTATTGAAAAATTGTTAACTACTGTTTGTGTTAGTGTAAAATGTATTGTACAAATGTAGCATCCAAACCTTAAAAGTAAAGTGCATGCCCCCATGCAGATCTAAATCGTAAAATCAAATAGTCCGAAGATAAAAATCTTAGAAAATAGTTTCCTGAAGCACTATAATGAATTAATGATGGTACATCTTTTTTTTATCCTTGGTATTACAACATGTTGTTGACAACAGCTGCTTTAAGATTTAGATCACATATTGATTAGACTAAAAAATATAATTTCATATGTTCAACAAGGATATCGTTGGAAACAAATGGATGCTTCCCAATCTTTGATTAGTACACAAGTGGTAAGAAAGGTGGTAGAGGAAAAAACCTTCATGTTACTAGTTAAAAACTATGTGGAAAGTCACCCTGGCAGAGTTAATGAGTTCTTGCAGTGCAGTAGACGCAGTTATTTTCTTGGCACAGCAAAGGTTACAAACTAATATAAAATGTTAACGATCATGTAAATGTAGACTATCCTTGTCGAACAATTTCAGCTAAAATGCCATTGAAGCCTTTTGAGTCATCGCTCCAACATAGGATGACAAATATTAATGAAAGGCCATCAAAAGACATTAACTACAATTGTACATTGCATCAAAATCAATCGTTCAGAATTTTCAATGCATATGCTCATTTACTCTTGGAAGTGAAATCTTGTAATTATACGAATCGTTTTAAGATAATTTGGCCAAAATTACACAGAACTTTGAAAAAGCATTAAAAAGGCAGATCTGTACATGTATGTAAAAATCATTGAACCAGAAAAATCGACTAATAATTCTCCTCTTGATAAAGATAAGCAATAGATAAAGTTAAGGCCAATTTGCTGTGAAATAGTTCTGACAAAAAAAAAGTTAGTTAAAAAAGACATTAAAGGGAAATTTATAACTTTATGGAATATCATTTAAGATTTATCTTGAACATGCTTCTACTCACTGTATATACATGCATCTTAGTAGTGAAATTTCTAGAGATGTTTTGACGATTTTCAAGGGTTACCACATATTAGATACTGTGTAAGTCATTTAAATATGCACATTTTTTTAAGACCATTATGGACATCTTTAAGTCATAACTTCATAAGTCATAATCATATAATATAATGGTGTCAGAGCAGCATCAAAGTATTAACCTCTAAATCAATATGGAATTAAAGACTTTACTCTTTATTTGAAATTTCATTTTATTATTTTATAGCAACATCTATCAGCTTTAAAGGTTTGTTTCTGTACCCATTATCTGGTTTGTTTTCTAGAAATGTTTCTTGCTGAGTGCACCTTCAAGCATTTGAAATTTTGTCTCATTCCTTTCGTCATCAAGTGTATCCATACATATATGTCTGGCAGATAATGCAGCAATGTAAGTTACCACCTTTATACAGTGTAATTAACATTTTCAAAAAAAAATCGAAACTTAAATGATTTCTATTAATCAATATTTTGAAACTTGTTAATTAAATGGTACATGTATGTGGAGATTCCTTCGATGGATGGTGGTAAAGGTTAAGGACTTGCAATATCTTAACTAATGGACTTGCTATATTTTAACTACACTGTATTTTAAAGTTTGATTACAGTGCAGAAAAGACCAAAGTCATTAAATACATTCAAGAAAAAAATATGCATTTAATAGCGGTTTCGTCTACGATGCATAAAACATTTTCCCAGAAGAGGCACATTTACAGCAACGTATGATCTTCCTCCTCAAATAAAGTTTTTTTTTGTTTGCTTTTCAAGTTTGATTTAAACACACTTTTAGGTCATAATCTTGGTGGTCAATCCACATACATGTAACCAGCTTTTCTGGATTTCAAACCACCAATTGCCAGTTTCTCAGCAAGTGAGTGTCCAAAAATGGGTGACAAAGCAAATTATGAATTTCGGTTCCAGAAATTTTAGGGTAATGAGGCACTAAAAACTGAAAATAAACTGCATTTTGGTTACTTTGAAACTATTACATACATACATACATGTACATAATAATAGCTAAGCACCTTTAGAAACCAAAATTACATGTACAAATGAATTATAGAAAGTTGAAAGGCTATCTAATAAACTTCACTCTTACAATTACAAACTGTTTTCATAATGACAGGAGATATGTTTCACATGTATTTTCGTCATTTTTGAAAGAGTATTTTAAGCCTTTATAAAATACAATACATTTAATAAAATATATGTCAGATCTTAATCAAGGGATGGTATAACAGCCCACTGATCAAATTATAAATCAATTAAAATGTGTGCACTTGTTCCAGGACTCACGCTGGGCTATTATGTTGCTTTTCATCCAATATTGTCTGAAACTAAGCATAGTTTTACACACTGTTTGGTTTGTGTTGGGTAGGATTTCAATAAGTTGCTGCAATCATAACTTTTTCAGCAGAGTAACTTCATCTCTTTAACTTAGTAGTCCCTTTTTTCAAAAATGCATAAAATTTCTTTTGATCAATACATGTATATATGAAGGGTATTAGGTACACTCAGAAACAAAATGGTCAATAGCCCATCACACAAAATTTTGGAAGGCCAAAATGACTTGAAAATTCTTGCATTAAAAATTACGAATATGATCATGAAAATTTCTAAAAAGTTTTTTTAAACAATTTCGATAAATAATAGTGCAATAAATCGAAGTCTTAAAATTTTATGTCAAGAATCATATCTCTTTCTGGAGCATACATATTATATTATATACTGGTATTTATCTTAATTTAGACGCTAAATTTTCACCAATTTTTGTTGCAAAAATGTGTTATGTATGATCATTATTAGGGTTTAAGAATCTCACATTTTTTGCCATGAACTCGAAAAAAGTGAAATCAACTTGGAAAATATAATTTACAGCACACAAATTGTTCATGTTCATTACAAAAAAGAGTAATGTGCAAAAAACATACACCATCATCAACGACAAACAGTGTCAGTTTGTTTCATCAAGCCAAGGGGACATTTGCCGGCGGTACCCTTTGCCGGTGTAATAGACCGATAGAATACTCTTAATTTGTTTGTTTACAAATTTATGATTGAAAACCGGAATTAAAGCTTGCCTTTTAGATTACATATAAATTGCGCACTTAATTAAGCTCTGAATGCATTGTTAATTAGACACGGGTGTGACCTGAATGTGCCCGACAATGCTCTAAGTGCGCGATTTATACATTATAACCTGAAACACAAGCTTTGTTTTTGGTTTTGGTTCTTTAAATCTATGTAAACAAACTGATTATGAGAATTTCTATCGGTCTATTGCATTGGCGAGGTTCTTTTGCAATGGCAAAGTTTATCTAGAAAATCATGCATAAAATGCAGGACGAGTAGCATAGCATGCAGAACGAGTGATTGTTATTTACTTTAACCAAAAAGTGAAAGAAATAGCATTGCAAACTTTATCCTAATAACCACCTTTGAAATAGAATTAAGAAAACGACAGAAGTGTGACTGAGTCACACTTTTTCTTCAATACTAAAATTTTTATTACTTTGAAGGATCATGACTTGACTGCATTGAAATTGCCAATTTATATGAGTACTTAAGATATTTAAAGACAAAATTAATGTGATTTTAATTATCTAAAGCACAGTCCATGTATGTAAGAGCCAATTTTTGACAGTTAATATGGTTAAGAACAGAACATAGAGAATTTTTACCTTTGTGTGCATCAGTATGCCTATCAAGATGGCATTTCTTGTAAAACGCCATTTCACAGCCCTCTTCCTCACATTTGAAATTCTTTGGTGCCTTTTGATGGGTTTCGTTTAAATGTAGAGCAAGTGCCCGCGTAGACTTAAAGCTTTTCTCGCATCCTTCAATGTCACATGGAAATGGGCGGTCTGTTTGATGAGATAATAAATGAAATTTGAGACCATTTGGGGTTTTAAATGCTTTGTTACAGTCTTCTTTTTCACATTTATACGGTCTTTCTTCAGAATGCAGTTTCAAATGGCGTTTCATATTATCTTCCGTATAAAAAAGTTTGTCACATTCGGTACATTTGACATTACGTTCACCCCTTTGCTCATGTATATGCCGAACATGTTTTTTCAAATTTGCTTTATAGTTTGATTTATAATCACACTGGTCACAGCTAAACAGTTTTGGTTGGTCTGGATAATGAGAAACTACATGACACTTTAAGGAAGACTCATACTGAAACTCTTTCGAACACTCCGGACATTTAAAAGGAATTCTCCCTTGACATTCCTCCATGTGTTTCTCAAGAGGAATTTCACTACATTTAACATAGCGATTGCAATTTTTGCAAAACTTGCAATCACTTCGGTCTTTGTGTTCTTGCGCACAGTGTTCTTCTAAAATTTCGTCATTTTCAGCACGGTATTTACAGCGTTTGCACTGATAAATTCCATGAGTTCTCATATGATTTATAACAAGCACCCGTTTTGGAGCAGAGTAGTCACATTCCTCGCACTTATGAAATTTTGGTTTGGCGTTTAATTCCGGTTCCAAACCCAACTTCTCTGGTTGACATTTTCTTAAATGCCTTGTATGTCCACCTTTACTTCGAGAAACATACCCACATTCATCACATTTTATACTTTGCTCAGATTTGTTCTCAGCATGAGCTTCATCATTGTTTAACTTTTCAGCATCACCTTCATGACCTTCATTAGCCTTACGATCACTATTAATGCTGTCAAAACTTGTATCAAGATCAGAACTTTCATCTGAATCATTTGCAGCATCATCAGAATCAGAATAATCTGGAGCAACTGCATTTGAGTTTGCAAGAGTTTCGTCCATTTTATTAAGATTATTCAAATCTTTATCATTCTCTTCAATTTCAGTTTGTTTATTTTTATGAGGTGTCTGAATCTTTTTCTTTGATTTACTTTTTGCAACTTTTTCTTCACTGGCCTCTGGTCCATCTGACTTTCCAGTAATATTAGATTTTTCTGCATGAGTTTTCCTTAATTCTTCAGTCTGCCTTTTCAGTTCTGACTGAGCTTCTTCTTTCAGCAGCTGTTTTTTCGTCTTTTTCCCTTTTTTGACTTTAGTTACGATTTCTTTTGATTCTCCTTCTTTTTCATTATTGCCTTCATTTTGAATGCCTGAAAGTTTTCTTTTCCTACCAGTCTTTTTCTTAACTCCAGCTTCATCATCAATACTTTCAGTTTTAAGCTTATCTGCCTTCTTCTTTGACAAAGTTTTCTTTTTTACCTCAGATTTTACCGGGTCTGTTTCCCCTTCCACAGTTTCATTTGTTTCTGCATTACTTGATTGTTTTGCTGATTTTTTCTTTGCTTTTGGAGACTTTTTCTCCGGACTTTCTTTTGTTCCTGTGTCTTCTACAGAATTAAGCTCAGAATTTTTCACTTTCTTTTTTGACTTAATCTTTTTGTCAGGAGTTTCTTCAGAATCATGAACAATTTCACCATTAACTTCTGGACTTTTATTCAAAACTCTATTATAATTACGCTTCTTGGGCGGAGTGCTTTTCAGAGAGGAGATATCTGATGCGTCATCATCACCGATTACACTGCTGCGCTCAGACAAAATGTCACTTTGGTTATCAACAAAAACTGCCTGAATCATTTAAATTCGAACTGTCCTCTTTTTGAAACTTTTGTGGTTTTACGTTTCTTTGGTGGTGTACTTTTGGTGGACCGATCATCATCAGCAGCATCATCTTCTTCTTCAATCTAGATCTGTCCGTCGCCCGCAGCTCTGGTTTCTTCTTTGGATCTTTTATCGTCCTCATCTTGATGGAGTATTATCAATCACTTACATCTTCTGGTTAATTTGCTCATATATCATTATTTTTCAAGTGCCAAGAAACCAGGAATTCTGAAGAAAAAAAATATAAATTGTATCATATAATGAAAAAAAAATATCATATTATGATCAATACAAAATAAAGGAGAGGTATACTGCTTTCTAATGGACATTTTCCTGAATTAAAGTACATTTGAAATCAGTCTCATTTTCTAAAGTTACAGTAATCATAATGCACTACAATTGTACTGTAGAACAACATAATTCATATGGTCAAATCAGATTATTCCAGTGAAAACAGAATAATGTTCTGTTAATTATCTGGGGCTTTACTTTGAACAAATTAAAAATGTATATTAAAATAGTTCTGGTTTAACTTCATGTAGATATCAATAAACACATAAAAATAGTAGTAAAATAATTTTTTTTTTTAAGAATTAACCATCAATTATATCATACATTCAGTTTTTAAAAAAAAACAAACTAAAAAAAAAACATCTTTATTAATTGTTTAAATATATCTGTAATATTGGTGTACAGTCCATCTGAATTCCCAGGCATGCTTATCATCCAACCCCTAGTATTACCAAATATTTCTATTGTTACAGTATACAAACATGTATACTGCTAGACATTTTGTCACCTATATTTATGCAATATACAATACTTCTTAACAGGTGCATTGTGGTACTATCATAAAAGTGTGACCACATCCTTCAAATATCTTAACAGCTATTTTGCAAGTTAATTAAGTGCTAATGTAGAGTGATTTTCTTATTACAGAGAATTTACCTTTAAACAGCATCAGTTTTCTATTTCTTAGTAAATATCAAACATTGTTTTTTTATATAGATGAGAATAAATAAATGTGTTTTAAATAAAAAAAAGTATGGACTTGATCAAGAAAGGGTATCTAAATTGTATATATACTGTGCTCCTCATAGCTTCTGATGCTAGGCTTAATACCATAGAGCAGGGAAATAAAGAATGACTTCATTAAATATACTGTGTAAAAATATTTTATTT